AGAGGATCAAAACTTGAAAAAGAATATACTGAAGCGAAACAGGTTTTCGAAACGAACTCCAATGATTTGAATGGCAACAATTTAAATGCAGCTAAGGATAAGCTCGAATCATTTTATGATGAAAAAGTCAACGGAATAATAATCCGTGCCCAAGCACGTTGGCATGAACACGGCGAGAAAAGTACCAAATATTTCCTAAACTTAGAAAAAAGAAATCATGTAAAAAACTATACAAGGAAACTAGTAATCAGCGGCGTCGTAAAGACATCCCTATGACATTCTTCAAGAACAAAAACGTTTTTATCGAGAGCTATACAAAAGTTCAAATAGTGATGCGGAAAACCGTCAGAACATTGTAAAGTTTCTAGAGAATTTGAATATACCTCAATTAACTGAAGAACAAAAGTTGACCTGCGAAGGCAAAATTTCAGCTGAGGAATGTTACGATATCCTCGAGAGCTTTCAAACCAACAAAACTCCCGGGAATGACGGAATTCCTATAGAATTCTACAAAGTGTTCTGGCCTTTAATAAGCGATCCTTTTCTTAAATGCATGAACGAAAGCTTTGAAAAAGGTGAAATGTCTTGTTCTCAAAAACAAGCGGTAATTACTCTAATAGAAAAAAAAGGAAAAGATCGTTCATATATTGAGAACTGGCGTCCAATCTCTCTCTTAAATGGTGACACAAAAATTGTCTAAAGTGATCGCCACTAGAATTAAAAATGTTCTTCCAAATATTATACACCATAACCAAACTGAATACGTGAAAGACCGATATATCGGTGAAACAATTAGATCAGTTTTTGATATTATGGATTTCACTGCAAAAGTAAGTATTCCGGGTCTAATGATATTGATTGATTTTGAAAAGGCATTTGATAGCGTAGAATGGGAATTTCTTCTCTATTGTTTGAAATCCTTCAATTTTGGCCCTAATTTCATCCATTGGGTTCAAACGTTCTACAGAAACATACAAAGCTGTGTGATAAACAACAGACTTTCATCTAAATACTTTAATCTTGAACTTGGGGTACGGCAGGGGGACCCGCTCTCTCCTTACCTCTTTGTAGTTACTATAGAAACATTAGCAATTGCGATTCGACAAAATAAAGATATCAAAGGTATCTTTATTGGGAGTGAGGAGACAAAAATTCTTCAATACGCAGATGATATGACAGCAATACTTGCCGACACAAGCTCTGCTACTGCTCTTTTTAGGCTGTTAGATGATTTCAAGATTGTCTCTGGCTTAAAGATTAGTTGTTCCAAAACGGAAGCTATGTGGATAGGTTCTTCAAGAAACTGCAAAGCACAGCCTTTTGGAATTAAATGGCCCAACGAACCAATAAAGGCTTTAGGAATTTATTACATCTATGATCAAAAATTGCTTCTTGAAAAGAATTTCATAGAAAGATTAGACAGTATTAAAAACCTGACTAGAATTTGGTCCTCTAGAGGACTTTCTATTTATGGTAAAATTACACTTATCAAATCTCTATTAATCCCAAAATTTGTTTATGTGTCATCTTTAATACCTACCCCAAAAGAATTTGTAAGTCAGTTAAACCAGATATTATTTCAATTCTTATGGAATGGTCGTGATAAAGTGACACGCAGATCGGCGATAAATGAATACTCCAACGGAGGATTAAAGATGATTGATTTTGATAGCATGATACTATCGCTTCGATTGGCATGGCTAAAAAGAATAGCTAGCTCAAATGATGGCACCTGGAAAAGGCTCTTTTTCCAACTAATGTAAACAAGCTGCAAAATGAATTTCATTTCACACTCGAGGAAGTTAAACAAATTTTTATGATCCCGTATAGTGTTGCTCTTGAAGCATATGTTAAGGCATTTCAATACAAAATTCTTAACTCCATTCTCTATACTAATGCTAAACTTTACAAAATTGGCTTTAAATTGAATGACTCGTGTTCATTTTGTTCATCTGAACCAGAAACGCTATATCACTTCCTATATCTCTGTCCTTTCTCGGTAGATTTCTGGCATGACTTTGAAGTATTCTGGCACCAACTTTTAAAGGAAAACATTCGACTTTCGTTGCAAGATGTTTTAGTTGGAATGATAAGACAAAACTCCCCTTCAGCTAAGCTTCTAAACTATCTAATTATGATTGGGAAATTGTACTTGTGGGATTGTAGAAGTCAAATTCTTCCGAATATATATGGATTTAAATAGAAAATTGCTGTAAAATATGAAACGGAAAAATATATAAGTCTGCGTAGTAAAAAAACAAAGGATTCCTTTGAAGCTAAATGGATAGTGTCGCCTCCTGTAAATGCTTAACTATTTAAAGTTTTAATAAGCATCCACATTTCTAGTTTGTTTGAATTTTCTTTTTTTTTCTTTTTTTTTTGGTTACCGTCTATTGTTAGTGATATTGTTTTTTTTTGGTATTATATTATTAGTATTAGTAATATTAGTTGTAACATTATAATTATGTAGGTAAGTAACTAATTTGCTGTATTAATATCAATTTGTTTCAATAAAGAATTATATAAATTTAAAAAAAAAAAAAACCTGCAACATACCCTAAAAGGAAAACATCCAGAGCTTATTTACAAATACAACGACCAACTGCTCAATCAACTCAAGAGAGGATTTATAGAACAAGTCCTCGATCCGAACACACATCAAGGTGTCATACACTACATACCCCATTTTCCAGTCTTCAAGGAAAGTAGCACAACAGCTATGAGAATCGTTTAAGACACTTCAGCAAAAATATCATCTACGGCATTAAGCCTCAACGATTGCCTTCATACAGGGCCTAACCTCATACAAAGACTACAAAATATGTTACTCACCTTCAAATCACACAAGATAGCCTTCACGGCAGATATCGAAAAGGCGTTCCTACAAATAGAGCTCAACACTCAAGACAGGGATGCTACGAGATTCCTTTGGCTCAAAGATGTAGACAAATCAGCGAATAATCCAGATAATTTAGTCGTCTACAGATTCTGTCGAGTACTTTTCCGAGCTGCGCCATCTCCATACTTACTGAATGCCACAATACAGCATCACCTCATCAAGCAAGACGACTAGATATCAAAAGACTTACAACGTTCGATTTACAAGGAAAACATCCTTACCGGAACAGACACTATACCTGAAGCCTTACAGTATTACACATCATCAAGAAACTGTTTCCAAAAGGCGGGTATGAATTTACGACAATGGACTGGCAACTCCCCTGCTTTAAACCACCAAGCTCATGATGATGGAGTATACGCAGAACCAATGGTCAAAGTACTAAGACTCAATTGGAACAAAAAGACAGATACTCTGTCACTATCATTAACAAAACTTATCAAGGAAACCAACAGCACAGACAAAATCTCCAAAAGATCAGTACTAAGCTTATCCTACCAGTGACAGTAAAAGCAAAAATAATGATGCAGGAACTATGGAAACACACCCTAACATGGGACAAAGAACTTCCTGATGACTTTAAGGAGAACTGGGTCGGATGGCTGAATGAACTACAAAATCTGACCCCAATGGAAATACCCAGACAATACTTCAATAATGTTGACAGTGAAGTTCAACTACACGTGTTCTGTGACAGCAGCCAACTAGCATACGGAACGGTGGCCTATCTGAGAGGAACCACCCCCAAAAGTGGGACAAAATGTACATTCGTAATGTCCAAAAGCAAAGTAGCACCAATAAAACCACAAACAATGCCACGATTGGAACTACCTGCAGCAGTGCTGGAAGCAGAATTATCTAAATACCTGTCAAATACCATACTTCCAAAGTTCCATACATCTCAAATTATATTGTGGAGTGACTCACAAATTGTGTAATCATGGATATCTTCATCAAAGCATCTATGACAACAGTTTATCCAACATCGAGTACAACTGAATAGAAACATGACCTCACAAAGTATGTGGAAGTACTGCCTGGCCACCTTCAATCCTGCAGACCTCATTACCAGGGGAATGGACGCTAAAGCTTTCATATCTAATCAGCAGTATTGGAACCAAGGGCCCTCATGGCTTATGAAGCAAACACAGGAGTGGCCATCAGTCACCGAAACCAAGTTACAAGACAGCACAGAAAATTACACAGAGAGTCAATCATTAAGTGATAATCTCGCAAGCCCACAAAAGAGCACAAATTTACTGAATGCCATCGATATCACCAAATACAGTACCTTGAACAAGACACTATGAGTTACCGCGCTCGTCATCCATTTCACCACAAAACTGAGAGAGAAAACAAAGTCTAATACAGTTACTGCCATAGACATGAAACACGCCCACATCATTCTACTCCAATCTGTACAACAATTCTACTATGGAGACATCCTATCGCAAATCAAAGACAAAGCTAAAGGCAAACAGCCAGCAATAATAACACCAGCGTGGCCTCTATTTAGATGTTGATGGCTTGATACGACGTCGTCGAAGACTACAATAAGCACAACTACCACACAACACCAAGTTTCCAATATTGATACCAAAGGAGAGTCACTTGTCAACCCTTATTGTTAGAGCAACTCACTGCATGGTTTTCCACAGCGGCATACGTGAAACTTTAAGGTGATTCCCTGGTTTTGCATTGCGCATTCCCTACTGCACATAACATTGCGACATCCAATACGGCGGAAGAGAAAATTGCAGGCTCATCTTGCGACAACAAAGGGCGCTTTCGCAGGTGCCTATCCATGCACGAAGCAGGTCAAAGAAAAAACAGCCAAAATTTGGGAACATAAATTGCCAGACCGTGAAGAGGTGTGTTTTGAGAATTTGACCAGAATAAGCGGTAGGCGAGTCGTCGAACTTGACTTACTTGCTGAAGCGTTGGATCATGGATGCAACACTTGTGCCAAACCACTTCAATTATCCCGCATCACAGATGAAACAGTCTCTGGATTGGGTTCTTTCCTGTACATAATGTGCTCTAATCCAGATTGCGGAGAACTAAACATCTGTCAAACAAAACCCACAGGGTGCCTGGCAGGATGCATGGATGTCCAATCTTCGACGTTAACACAAAGCTGGCCGCAGGTTTGTTACGTGACTTTGTAACTTATCACACTTACATTTGTACAGATTTGTACCAACTTTTTTCTCGATTATAATATTTACTCTTTATTTACATTCACAGGAATGTTACATGCAGGAATGGGAGCAACACATGTAAATGCTCTATTATCCTCTTTAAACATCCCTCCTGTTCATGGGGACACATTAAAAGCCAGAGAACGAGAAATTGGTCCGGCCATCGAGGACATTGCTAACACATTATGTGAACATATGTTAGACGAGGAAAAGAAACAGTGGGGAAGTACCGAACGTGTAAATGAAACAGTGCCTATTGGTGCGTCCTATGATATGGGGTGGCAGAAAAGAGGGAAGGGTCATAATAGTTTAACAGGTACCTGAAATAAGGTGCTAAGAATAAGAATATTGAATAACTTTCCCACAACATAACTATGTTGTAAACAGTAACCTAACAACTCATGTAAGTAATTTGGGGATGGGGTGGCAGAAAGAGGGTATTTATTGAAGGGTGCCCTGAAGTTGTCACAAACTAGTTCTAAAGATTTTTCCTTTCAGTAAGATGGCTTATTTATCTGCTGTTATCATGGTTGAAGTACGAAATGTTACCACGACATCTGTCTAAAATTCTCAGGGAACTACATCCATGACCCAATCTTACATGTGGCATACTTTTACTTTTACTGCAGGGGGTATTGGGCAACTCGCTCATAATACCTAAACAGGTATGTGCTACTCATTAGGCTAATTGAATGTGTTAGGAATATAATACATGTATTAATCTGAAAAGAACAGGATTTCAAAGAACTTGTGAATTGCCTCAAAGGGCATCATTTTGCATGTAAAATCCTTCTAAAGTGAGTCCAACACTTTAGGTCTGAGCAGCACATACCCATCCAAAATGTACATGAGGTCCACCCCCTTGATTACACCACTCAGGTTTTTTTTCTTTGGTTTACTTTTTATGTTGTCAGGAGTTGGTTCTCTGATTGGTGTAAAAACAGGCAAGGTGATTGGATTTGGAACAAGGACTAAGAAGTGTGCAACATGCGAAGCAGCGAGTAGAGCTGGAAAGAGGGCTCGCACGCACGACTGCAGATGTAACTGGGATGGCTCATCAAAGAGCATGGAAGCAGATGTATGTGCTCAGCTTGTGGAATCATGTGAGGAAAATGGTGAAGCCCAGATGGCAATCCTTGTGGGGGATGATGATTCTTCAACTATAAAGAAAGTGAGAGACACCCTTGACCATGACGTTGAAAAATGGTCTGACATTGTCCATGCAAAGAGAGCTTTTGTGTCTTCTCTTTATGGTTTACAGAAATCACACAAAAAGTTAACTGCTAAAGTGATTGACTATTTGCAGAAGTGCTTCAGTTATGCCGTTACACAAAACAAAAATGACCCCACTGGAGTAAAAATGGCCTGCGAGTGATAGTTCCACATGCCTTTGGTGATCATGGCACTTGTTCCATCTCTTGGTGCAAGTATCTAAAAGATCCCGTCAGCTATCGTCACAGCACACTACCCCATGGCAAAGATCTGGAGGGGGAAGACTTGAAAAAAGACCTGCAAGAAACCATCGAAATTTACTGTGAAAATGCAGAAGAGTTGGCTCCACTTGGATCTAGCCAAGCCAATGAAGCACTAAATAATACCATAGGCAGCAAAGCCCCCAAAATCAGGCATTACGGCTCAAGTGAAAGCAATGACTATCGTATGGCATGCACAGTGAACCAAAAGAATATTGGCCATTCATATGTGAGGTATGTAATGTGGACAAGTACAGTTTTACTACTTGTTACATACCAATACACATTTTGTGTGGCATTTGAAATAAGATCACCTAGGCTTTCTCACCACCAGGTGGTACACAATTAAATATGTTCTGCTTCCTTGTCATTTATTTGAATGCCACAGCTAAAATTCGCAGTTTTACTCGTTGTACTCTCGAGTATTCTACAATAATATATCATTACTTCCAATTAATACATAAACACTTAATTTTCAATACCTACATGTACAGTGTACAACTAGACATAAGAATCTGTCTACATAAAAACACACATGCACTAAAAAACCACTCCTAATTTTGCACACAGGCCCTTCAGAAAATTCACCTTTCCCCTGGAACACAAGGGATAAAACACTTGACAAGAATGGATACTAAGATGTCACATCAAAGGGCAAGGCAACAAACTAAAAAATTCAAGCAACAAAGAAGACGACAGAAGGAGAAGAGGTAGAGTGTGTTTGAAGACTTTAATAATATGATAATTATATTGTTTGAAAATATGATTTAGCCTACAATTTTGCCTATGTTCTGCAGATGTATTAACCTAGCCAATAAAACTGGAATAATTTTCATGCACATGCAGCAATTATAACAAACTATGAATTCACACAGGCTTTCAAAGACAAAGCAAACAGAAACCAGGGAGGGTTCCCAGTACAAGAGTGGCATGGGATATTTACCAGAAAACGATGCAGCAGAAATTCCTCCTCCTCCAAAACCCTGTGAATCAAGTACAAAGCAGCTGCATCAACAAAACCTTACAAATATAGTATTTGATCTAGAGACATCATCTCGAGGTAGTATACTGTAAACTATTTCAAATATGATTAAAAGAAATCATCCAGCTTTACAGAATATATTATTATTGGAATGTGAATTCACATTTTCAATCATTTTTAAACCATTAAATTTTTGCTTTTCTAGCCTTTTCTAGCTCTACGTTATAGTCGTAATTTTAAATAACATTGGTTGTACTTGTAAATTTTGTTTTTCTAGCCTTTCTAATAACATTAGTCTATTAATTTTGTAAGGCATTTTTCTATTTTAGGGCAGGTTATTATCTCTGTGAATTAGTACAATAGGGCATTTTATTATTTTTATGGATACACAGAGTGCTACATAAGTAATATTATTATTATATAAATGTCCTTACAACAGTAAAGAACATTTTTTCAGCCGTTCGAGGTTCTTGTAACCAGTATTTAATTTGCATGCAAATGTTCCTGATAAACCTATCAACTATACCAAAACGTATACAATGTACCAAAACCACCAAACAGCTACAGTTTCTTCTCTTCTGCAATAAAAGGGGGTGGTAGGCCTACACGACTTTTACCTCATGCCAAAATGCTGCTTATTCCAATAGAGTTGTTTTTATCTGCTGGGTAGATTATGTTTTGGAAGGTTCTGCATTTATACCGAGCAAATGTGATTTTAGCCGCATTTTTCACACTGAGAGGTCATGACATATATATCGATTGACTGTAGTTATTGTTTTCTGGTCGGCAGGATTTGCCCTCTGATGTAAGCGCATTTTCTTTGACCTCTTTTGAAGCGTAAAACTTTTTTATTATGGCTGAATAAACTCTTCCGAACTAATATTCGAAGAGAAAATTACAAATTTCAAAGCGCATCTGCTACAGAGGGGTTACCCAGAGGATCTTATTAACACAACCCTCTCAGAGGTGAACTTCAAAGACAGGAAACTAGCCCTTCAACGGAAACCAAAGACAAACCAACGAATCTTGCCTTTTGTCACACAATACCAACCATCAGTGCCAAACCTAAAGCAAATTCTCATGAAAAACTGGCATTTAATAGAACAACAACCATTACTGAGCGAAATCTACAAAAAACCGCCTCTCGTATCTTATAAAAGAGGGCGGTCGTTCAAAGACATACTCGTGAGAGCCAAACTATAGAAAGGCTATTTTAAACACATGCTGGGGAGTAGTGTAGGCCTGTCAACCCCATTTTACACGAGGTTTATGTACTTCCAACTAAACCCATATCACCGGTTGCATCATAAGTAAATAAGCTTACCTTTCAGCGAGACATTCTTTTTTTAACAAAGGTCGTCCTGTCCAGGCAGTTCCACTGGAGGAGGCATTATCTAGGATGAAAGCGTGGCTCAAGACCAAGTCTCCCTGCCTGTTGATAGCCCACAACTGTAAATGTTTCGATGCAAAGCATCTGATGAAAGCCTTTGAGTCCACTGGATTATACAAAGAATTTTCAGCAATTGTTCCAGGGTTTTCTGACACATTAACAGCCTTTAGAGGACTCCTTCCTGCACGTAAATCACACAGTCAAGAAAATCTGGTGCAAGACCTTCTACTCTGCAGCTATGGAGCCCATAATGCCATAGCTGATGCCCAGTCACTGTTTAAACTTGTCAGCAAGTTCTTAAATTCAAAGCTGGTTGGAAAACATAGCTTTTCTGTAGCATGGGTCAAGGAACACAATATCCACCTTGCAAAGAGAAGTTTGCTTCAGCAAACACTTCAGGCTATTTCTACTGGAATGGCTACAAAAATTGCTGATTCTGGGCTGGGAATGCAGCATTTGCAGCTGGCATTCCAAAGAGGGGGAGCAGATGGGCTGGAACTTATACTGAAGGAGAAATTTGATGGTAAAGCTCGAGTGACAGGGGAGGCAGCGTGGCCGAGTGGTCAGTGCGTGGGACTCGCAATCAGGCGGTCCTGGGTTCGAGTCCTGCTCTGGCCACTTGCTGGATTTGTGCTCAGTCGTCCCGAGTTCAAATTCTCGGCCACGCTTGTAAATAGCCAACTGGTCGCCTTCTGCCAGTTGGTGTTTTTAATCCTGTTATGTTGTATTTGAATTATTTGTTTCTAAATATTTGAATGGAGTGCCTGTAAATTAGCTGGACAAGCTAAGTGCAATTTCCACTATAAACAAGCCTTTAACCTAACCTTTAAACCGGCGGATTTTGTCTCAAATTGCAAACTATTTCTGTCACTGACTGTAACTAAGAACTTGAGCATAACTTGTAGTGATCTTAGGTACAAAATACTACAAATACGTATACCATGAGTGATACTTCAAAACTGTAACATAATTTCATTAGCAATAATAATGGTCAGTGAATTTTGGTGTCATTATCACATACAAATAAGGCCATTTCTTGTTTATACCGCTACCCAGGAAATTTCTGTAATATCATCCATTATTTTGTTTCTCAGGACTTATTTGATTAGCTTTGATTTGTAAACTATGTGAAGAAAGCCATCTTAATCTCATCACAGAGCTTTTAAGTTTTTTTTTTCATTGAAAATCGTTCAAAATTTCGAACAGCAAGAATAAATATTTCCCTAAATAGGGGGGGGGATCCTTATGAAAAAAAGCTGTGACAAAAAAAATGCAAACAGCTGGAAAATGCAGAATACATACAAGCTAAGAAAATAAACATGCATATAAAGCAAACCAAAAAAAAAAAAATGTACAAAGGAGAAACTCTAATCCTCCCACTCTTCCCCTTAACTTTTCTAGTTGTCCATCCCAAATTGCTTTGGGTCTGGTTCATATTTATGGATATGAATTGATTAAAATATTATCTACGGGCAAACAGGAATGTAGCCACACCATTGCGGTTTTTATTAAAGCAAATGACTAGCAGTAACAAGGAGATGATCCACTTGAAGTATTAAAACTATTAACAAAACGACAATGTTTAATAATATTCCTCGAGCCCCTGAAAGTAGCTGGGATATATTTCCTCAAATAGCAAGTTTTTGCTAAGTGATTTATAGCTTGGCCACTTCGTACTTTCTGGTCCTGATAAATTCTTTGAAACTGCCACAGCAGCGAGTTCAGTTACTTCTTCTCTGTTCACATGTAAAAGGGAAAAAAATTGCATAAATTGACCTTATGTAAATAGAAACGTAAGCTTACTATTCCTACCAACATAACAGGCCAGGGCAATTTTTGTCGGAGCAAGGTAGCTAGTTTATAACTGCAAATATTTAACTTTTGTTAATACACAGACGCGATTGGCTTGCTACCTATTTGCGAGAGAGCCATAAAAAAAGTCGAAGTTGTGTGATGAGTTGGGATGAGGAAGTGGTAGTGGAACCCGCAATATGTAAAGTTTAATGTGAAAGGCAAAAAGCAAACGTTCATTAAAAACAGCAACGAGCATGTCCAGTCTACATATACTTTTAGTACAAAGAAAATAGAAGTCATTAACAAAACTTTTCCGAAGTGGTCGGAAAACACTGGACGGCAGTTAAAACAAGTAACCCCAGCATAAAATTTCAGGACAAACAGGATGCTCTAAAAAAATACTCCAAGCCTCTGTAAAATGTTGAGTTATTAGCCTTGAAATGATTCTTTTGGAGGAGGAAATAATAATTGTTTCTGCAAATAAATAGCTAAAATGGACATCCCGAAAGAACAGAGTACAGTATGTTGCCCAGTATCCGGACACTTCAGTTTAACATTGCAATAACTTCCCTTTGTTAGTCGCAAGAGCTCTGAAATTTGGCCTAGAGAAAATCTATCTAGTCCTTAATATGACGAAAGACAGTTTAAATTTTTTGCCTTTGTTTCCATGGCGAAATTAATATTTTTGCAGAGTTCCTATGTTGCCCAGTATCCGGACACAACAATAACAACGTAATTGTACATAAATTTCAACAAGCAAGCGACTTATAAGCTTCTCTTGCACTTGCAAAGTAGTCTGGCAATCGATTCCAAAAATATAACCTAGCATTGTGAAATAAAACATAACAAATGACTGTGGTATGGTGGGGAACGCGAGCAGTTGTTAAATCTCATAACTCATACTTCCGTGTCTAGGAACTTTTTCACTGATTTAAGGAAGACATCCGTGGACATGTGGAAGCCGCGGTTTGCTAGCTCAATTAGACAATCTGCAAACGACTTTTTTCTTCACTTTTTAGTTAAAAAAAAAAGCTTGGGGAAGGAACCTCAATACGACGGTCAAAGGTCACTCTCCTATTTAGTCTGACCTGCAGTGTTGATTTCTTCATGCCCCGTCCCTACAGACCCTACAATAAGCCTGCTTTTCTAGCACTAATTCCCCCTTCTTTCAAATCTCTCAATCCCTTTGTGACATTTTCCAGACTGTTGCAACCCCATTTTAGCAGTCACAACTGGGGAAAGTATGAGAATTCCAGGTTCAACTTCGACGCTTTCGGTTATATATAGAAAATGCAGTCACACGAAACAAGCAGCGAAAACGAAATCAAGTCGCCTCCGAATGAGTGAAGAAAATTTCCGTATGGAGTTGAGTAGAATTACATTTTACGACTATACGATATATTCTAAGCTTTCATTATGATTACAGATATGAAATAAATGTTATCCGGATAATGTATGCAGCTAATTCATCGATTCTGTACAGCAAAGAAAAAACTGTCCGGATACTGGGCACCTGACATCAATACTTAGTGAATGTTTCTGGGCTCCATTATTCCAAACAAATCGAATTTCAAGAAGAATTAATAAACTTTCTGAGAAACTGACTTCTTTAAGTATCTTTAATTTAAATATAAAACCGTTTCTTTGAAAATATCACATATTACCTACCCTTTTCTGAGCAGCACTAATTTTACTGCACAGTAAACAGCGCAAATATTAGCCATGAAATGTTTATTCACCTGAACAGAACGGCGTCTTCTGTGACTGTTTTGCAAGCTTTCATCTCGCCAAAACCTTCATCTTAAAGCCGAAATGTTCAGCTCTCATTCGAAATACTTTGTTTACCGATAACTGAAAACGGCGCCTCAAAAATTGAGTTTTTGTTTTAAGTGTCCGGATACTGGGCAACATACTGTACAACATTCTTACCAGTTTTCATCTCAAAATTGTGGATTCATAGCAACAACGTTTACTGAACTTGACTCCGCATTAATTGAAAATTAATTACCATCATGTAAGCTACATCTGGATCATACTGCAGCCTTATTTACAATGAAATATCACAAATGTCGCTCTTTCGCTGATTCCTTCCATGCACGTTTGATCGACGGTCGAGAGTCTCAACGGATATTTCATAGAAACTCGCCCCAGTCCTCACTCAGAAATGGAAAAGTGGACAAAAGGTGGTGCGCACGTTGCGAACATCTTCAACTCTGGAGCACAAGCGAGCACGGTGACCCCCATTTTTTATTTCATAATTTTGATAAGAACACGATTTTCAACTTGTGCAAAAAGAATCAGAGAATATCTATCTTCAGATTTTTTATAAATTCAATTAAATCGTGTGGGGAATCCATAACGGGTCCAGAAGAACATACCCAAATTGAATCTATTTTGGAGCATAAAGTAATCAAGAACGCATTGAAATACATTTTTCTGACACGTAGGTGAATAAAGGAAAGAATAAAGTAAGATTCTACTTGATCTCACTGGCTGCATTTAAAACATTGAGTCTTTTTGCCCAAAATTGGGTGGGTGCGGCGATGGTCAAAAGGGGCAGTTTTAGCCGTATTCGTCAGCATCGTACTACTGAAACGAGAACGGTGACCCCCCTTTTTTATTACATTTTTATCATCTCCTAGACTTGATACAACAGTGTGGAAATTTTCATCGGAAATCTATGTTAGGTTCTTTTACTAGGAAATCACCTTAATGGAACTCAGACAGTCGTATTGGATACCAAAAGGCAGACAGCTGGTCAAAACGGAAATAAGGAAGTGTGTGACCTGTAGAGTAGAAGGACCACCATTTCGCTCAGTTCACTCTCCTCCATTACCAGATATAAGAGTCACAGGGTCCCAACCCTTTCAAGTAACGGGAATTGACTATGCCGGACCATTATAAGAAATAAGGTCCACAAGCGGAAAACAAACACAACGAGCTAGTGCTCAACGAGCCGCACTAAAAATAAAGGAACTCTCTAAACTTAATGCACTTTGAATACTACTACCTTATACCTGTGTAAATCTCTATAATCAACATTTTATTGCTGTCCTGGGAAAGTGTAATGAAATCAGTACATTAACAGTAAATTATGTACATGTAATTAGTCATCATTATGTACGTCACTAATCAGATATTCTAAGTCTTGGCTGAATGTAATAAACACAAGATCATACACAGATCAGTGTGACTGATATCTCCGAAACCCATCACTCTCAGTCCTTCTTCCAGAATATGCTGGAAGTTACGTTTGCAAGAGTCACTCAGTGCAAACAATAACAGATCTTTTCAAAAACAAGTATCTTTACCTTACTTATCCTGATCTAGTCGAGCAGCCAAGGGCAGTTTTGTTCAACCCACGAGTTAGAAAAGGTTTGACAACGGATCCTTGTAGAACAAGTCCTACTGATTAACACTAGGTAGTTCGTACTGTCAAATTGTGGTATAGGTTTCCAGTTAAGGGGGTTTTTCTGAAGACAGTGGAGCGCTCAGCATGGAAACGAGGCTGGTATCTAGAGAATGCATTACCTTGA